TATTATTATTGTCGAAAAGAAGAAAATGTATTCAATCTTCCGACGCGTTTGTCGATTTAATCGCCACGCGACATTCTCAGTCATTACCAAGCCATTTCTCTCTCTCCCTCGAGAGAGTCTCGGAAATGCAAATATTGCTGGCGTGCAGCAGTTATACTATTTTACACTCGCGGCACAACTGCTCTATATAATGCACTGCATATGGCGTCGGCGGCGGTGGGGGATAAATATAGAAGGCGCGTCGTCTCGGATGAACACATGCGCGTGATGATATTTGGCAATGTTCTGGCCGAGTGCCCGACTAGACTAGCAGCTCCGCGTTTAAACGCGACTTGTTTTCACTTTGTAAGATTCTCGCTCGCGACGTCGAGCCCCGCCGTCGAATAAGCCTTATCTGCGCGTATGCTCGAATGTCTCGTCTACCACCGCACCGACTTCCTCGCGGGGCGATTCTCACCTTCACCTAATTTTCGCACATACACACGAGTCTCGAAAGCCGAGCTTTCGTTGTTAAACCCTTGATTTTTTTTTCGTGTACCCGAAGCTCGTCACTTTTCACTCGAGCTGCAGCATAAACTTTGCACCGACTCACGGGGACTGAGATTTCCTGTGTTCACGTGTAAGTAGTGTACGTAGCGAGTCGAGAGCGGAAAAAATGCCCCCACCGCTGCTGCTACTAGTACTACTCGCGCTAATCGGACGCGATATTTCATTCTCACCTGAGGGAGATCGGGCTACTCGATATAGGCCTCCCTTTAACGCTGCCGTCGTCCTTGTCTCTCCGCGAGAATCTATTGTGTATGTTGGTAGTGTATGTATGAGTGTGCGAGACGACCCCCCGCGAGCTTATCGATTCGCGTGTGCTGCGAGTTAGCTCCGCTAGTCTAACAAATCCAATACGCCGTGCTATTAGTCATTCGACGTTGTTTATTTTTTATAAAATAAAACAAAATAAAATGAGAAATTCAAGCTTCGAGTCCTCGACATAGTATTTAGGAGAGCTCGAGTCATAAATATTACGCAGCTAATGCACAAGCGAGTTAACACGAAGCAAAATAAAGGAGAGACGGATTTTCGTTTAGTTTTATTTCAGCCGAATAATCTCTCTCTCTCTGGTAATAAGTGAAAAATCGTTCGCTCCTCGCCGTGTATTCATTGTATACACTCGCGGAAGTACACACAGTACGAGTTTAAAATCTTTTTTTCTCGTCGGCTACTACTACTCCGTCGTCCCTCCGTGTCCTTTTTATTGCTTAGCTTCCAAACCATCTTTCTTATCGCTGGAGCTCGCGCGAGTGGGTGACAGTTACAAACGACACGTTATCTGTAAGGATTGCACGAGATGCGCGAAAGAAAGAAAGAAAGAGAAGAGGGTGAAAATGGCCGAGGCGAGCACCTGCCTCTATCCATCTCTTTACTTTCTCTCGTGTACACCGTACGTACATCCCTACCTATACCTTCATGGCGAGCTCCAGTGCATCAACTCGGCGTGTCAATGGAAATGCAATCGCTCGTCTCTCTATCTGCCCAAGCCTATAATATCGAGATAGGGAGAGAGAGAATGGACCCTTGGAGCAATCCGAGAGGCTGATTGCTGCTTCTCCATTATATAGCAGAATGGACTTGTCTCGCGGAGGCTATTACGACCAGGTGTGAATCATAATAAACGTCAACTCGGTCTCTCGGAATATCTCTCAGCTATTTCATTCTTCTTCTTCTTTTTTTTCTCAGCAGCAGCAGCAGCAGCAGCCTCGGCGTCCGAAAATTTCTCTAACAACGACGCTGTACCGGTTTACTTTGATATTTATTCAAGCAACGTTGTAACGCGCGCGCGACTCGACGACTATTTATTGTCACTGTTATTCTTGAATATAGAGTCGCCCGCGCAGCCGGTGCACAGTGCAGCGGCGCTGAATAAACACAAGCAGTTTGTTCTAGTGTGTGCGGAATTCTTGGCTCCGCGCGAAAACATAAAGCGACACTGCCACGCTTCGATGTCGAAGTGGCATCACCCACGCCGCGTTGCCGCGTACAAACACATACATAGACGCACACACACACACACTCACGTACACACTGCAGGCCATTAATTCTGTCGCACGAACAGGTGCATTTCTGCCTCATTATTAGCCGCTTCTCTCTCTCGCTCGCTCGCAGTGTGCCGGGCCATTCTAATTCAACAGCGTTAAATTGTCTCGTGATGTCGTCGAACTTGATGCTTTCGCGCCACGTGCATTTACGTAACGAGTATAAAAAACCTCCGCTCTGCTGTATACGTATGTGCAAGTGCCAGATAATGTTTCACAATTGGGTCGATGTACAGCTCAATTTATAGTCGTCTAAAGACTCGCATCTCAAAAATCTCTTTCCCCATCTTCCTATTACGCATTTTCAGCTCCTCGCTCCCGAGCTTTCGAGCGAGATGCGTGCGCATTTGGCTGTAGGATTTTTCCTACGCGTAGCGCAAAGAAAAGGCTGCTTTTCCTTGAATGTGTAAGCATTCGTGGAATGCAAACTTCTGCAGCGTGCGGATCGATGGCTCTCCGGGGAAATTTCGGCGCGAGCCGACGACGACAGGCTTTTTGACTGCGCGCGCACCTTTTTCCGGATAATGAATAATCGCGCAATTTTTCAGTCGCGAAAAACTCTTTTCGGGCGTCTTTTCGGATATTTTTTCTGCCGAGTGAAAATTGCCAGCCGAGAAAATGATTTAGATTGGAGTCTGGCTCGTGCCTCTGCTTGTGCCGACTTTGACTTTTCAGTTATCCGTCTATAGCAGAGTCTTTTGTTGGAGTTAAATTGAAAAACAAATCGTGGAAGTAGATTATTTAATAAAAATCTAGTAACTAAAAGCATGATTTTGAATAATTAATTTCAATGTAACGCTTCTCGCAGAAATTACGTAAAATGCACTTAAAAATTTTACTCTCGATATACATTTTTCATTTGACATCTTGAAAAAAAGTTCGTTTTTATTGTCGTTAAACAATAGTTTCTGCCGAGTCATATATCCCAGGAACGACGCTGTTTAATTGTACTCAATGAGTGAAAAAGTTTATGAAGACCGTGAAATCGCGTGCGGCAAGGCAAGGCTGCAGCTCCTATGTACGAACGCTACGCGTACTTTGGAATTTGTCAAAGAAACTTCGTTATGCATGGCATTCTCATAATAGCATATATAATTAGCGGATGCTATAGCTCGCGCGACGAACTAAACTTGAGCAAGCCGACGAATAAAAACTAATGTTAAAATTAAAAGTTGCCGTATATACTTTCCGGCCGTTTCTTCTTCTTTTTTTTCTGCTTTCATTTAACCCATTTACCGCGCTGACTGCTGCCTGTCAGTATTGGCAAAACTTTTTGAGATTTCATAATTTACTTTTTACAATATATAGAAATAACACACATATATAATACATCACTTATGATTATTCATTTACTTGTGTAGCTGAAAGAGGAGATTAGTCGAACAAAAAACGTTTGCAACTTATCGAATTATCTCCACCGCTGCGTATAGAGTGAGTTAGTGCGCCGGTGGTGGTTACCCCTTTTCTACATCGAACTCTTGAGACTCTCTCTCTCTCGCTGCGAACCTCTAAAAGACAAGAGCCGCTCCATTTACCCTCATCTACAAACTTACACGCGTCGTTCGTTTGTATTTGCTCAGTTATTAAGGTCAACTAGCTAGCTAGCTAGCTCGAGCTTGCCTTGCTCAGCAGGCAGGCAGGCAAAAAATACCATTGGCAATTTCGAATGAGCAGCGCGCGCGCGCAAGTCGTTTGATTTATCGAGGCGAATTCCTCAGCATAAATTTCGATTCACGGTACATTCGTTTCGTTTGGCCGAAAAGGGTTCGAAAATGAAATCGATCGATCAAAGAGAAATGCAAAACATTTTTGGAGAGTCTCGAAGAATCTACCCCTTTATTGAATTTTCTCTCCTCGGACCCTGGCGCTGCTACTGTGCTATTACTACCGCTACTACTGTTCGTTATACATAGCTACTTTCACGGGTGTGTATTCGCGTTAGGCGCGTGCGCCATTGTGCGTACATATACTCCGTATAGACGCCAATGAAACTGCGTATTCATCCTCGTAGCCAAAAAAACACTGTACACGAGATTTATGTTGTTGAACTTTTTTTTACCTCTAACGTCTGCCCTGCGACTATACTCTCTCCCGTATAGTGCGTATGAAAACGGAGCCGCTGCCGCTGCCACGCTACACGTAATGCTCGAGTGCGATCGATATTTTCTGCACTGCGCGCCGCGCGCGCGCTAAGGACAAGCTCTCTATATTTTACATTCGATCGTAACGTTTCCTACTTTTCTTTTTTTTGAGTAAAATTTCACACTTAAAAAATAGTATTGTACCTTTCGTTTTTTAATTAAGCTTGAAATTTCTCCCAGTGCTCGAATTTAATTAGGAGAACAAGCTTTTTCTTCAGGGGGTATTTAAATGCAAAACCAACGATTATTTTATTTTATTCTTTCGTTCACAGCCTCATCAAGCATTATTCTGCAGAATTGGTACTTTAATTAAAAGTGCCTTGGCAAAAAGTTACCGTCCTTTGCCAAATAGTTCATTGCGTCAAGTCTGATTATAAGTAGTTTTAATTATGGATCTCCTCATTAAAGAGGGAAATTGCTTTAGACGCGCAACGATATATCCGGTAACAAAATAAGTCATTGATTGACATTTCATGTAGTCGTTAAATTAACCCCTTTTATGAGGTCCCATCTCGGCTCGCCCGCGCAATATTTATTTACGCCGAGGTTATATGGGACAAGAAAAAAATAAAATGTTTAATTAAACGCGTTTTCAAATATTTTTTCAATAAATAGTTTATTTTTATAAATTGTATCAACTTTACCTCCAAAGAAATTAGATTGAATTTTTATTTTCATCCGAGTGAGGTATATTTTTCTAATAATCAGTTTTTACGTTGTGAATTCTTGAGTTCAGCTATACATTGAATCGTTACATTTTTTTTTGTTACAGAATCAACAACCATTTGAATTTTATCCACAGGCATTACAGCAAAGTCAGTGCTCGTCGCGTTCCAGTGGCAGAGAAGATTTCTCAGGGTAAATCTTTCTAATTTCACTAAACCTATTTCTTTAATGATCCGTAATGTTTTGAAAACCAATTGGTAATAGCCCATGGCCACGTTGATTCTCTTTGAAAGCGAAAAAACGAAGTGCACGTGTGACCGTGTCTAACTATTCGTCGTCCCTCTCTTTTGTCCCGGTCGCATTTAGCCGCAGTGCGTTATGCAGCTCACGTAACGTTTTGGCCTTCTGCGACGGGGGGGTGAACAAAACGCTTCATGCTCGATTCGTTGCGTCCGCACTACCGCCGCCGTCGACACACAGTAGGACGCGCGATGCCGCTTTCAATTTCGACGCGTATCCTGACTTTATTAAAGATATTGTGAGGCCGCGCACACACACGCGTACATATTTGCTTAAATTTCCATATTAGCACTCGCGAAAAGCATCGAGAAACGAGCATTTCCTAAACAGAATAGCCGGCAAAAACAGTTATTAAGTTCTGCATTAGTGAAAAGCTGAAAAGTTCATTGACTGTCGAATTCCGTTTCGCTCCATAGGTCAAAGGTCTATTCTTCGATGTCATTTTCATTCAAGGTAAAGTCGCTTGACAATGCAATTCGCGCATCCAATGAGCTTCGTTGAGCATGTGTGTATGTGTGTACACACACGAAGTCCAGTAACAGTGCACAAAAGCTAATCCACGATGAAAATGTAACATTCGATTCATGGCAACGACGACGACGACACAAGAGAAAGAGAAAGAAAGACACAACGGGAGCGCACAAAAAACAATAGAGACTCTGTATGACTTTGGAAACACAGAGAAACCAAACACAATTGAGAGAGAGTATAAAAAAGAGAAAATTTGAGTGTAGTTTTGGTGTTGGTTGCGGGCTTTTCTTGACTCTGCCGCTTCTTCTCTCCTCTCAAACTCGATAGAGATGGTTAATTAGATAAGTGTTCGGGTACAGTGCACGCTACCGACACACAATATTGGATTTTTCCTCCCCACGTGTCTTTGATGTAACTTTTCAAAGCTCCAAGCCAAACGTTGATGTCAATACCCTCGTTGTATACAATTGTCCTCCGATATATTTATTTACTTTGTTTTTTTTCCTCGACTCTCGGGGAATGTCAAATTTTCCTCAATACATTAGTATTCTTGAATAACAAAAAAGCTTCGTTACAGGAAGAAAAGATTCGAGAGCCACTCGAAAAACTCGACTCCAATTAGAGACGTGTCGTAATGGTGTCTGCGCCGCGATCTTCGTGTGCAAGCGATCCTCGAGGGGGGAGGGGATTATTTATCAATTTTTGCGCGAGCAAATTTTCCTTTTAAGCGACTTGCGTAAGCATATACTGTCTCAGGTGGTTTACGTTATTTAACGAGCCAATGCTACCGATTGCAAAATATTTTACATGTACACTGTTTTTGTTTCTTTAAACACAAGTGTCTCCTCGACAAGAGGCTTTTTTCTATTATATGATTAAAAAAATGCAAAACTGAGAACTCTACAACGGAATAAAGAAATTCTGAATTTCAAAGCTTCGTCGCGTGGCTGACCGTAAGTTGCGACGTCAACAAGCATGAGACGGCAAAGTGAAACGATACCCTCGATGTACGAAATTTATAAGAGAGATGTAGCTCGAGTACCCTACGTTTTACAACTGAATTTTAGTATACTCATGCTATCTATTGTCATCCAGTTACACGATGTTACAGAGAGTTTGTTTAAATAACTTGATTCCAAAAAGGGAAAAAATTTTCCGACGAAATTGTCATCAAGTTAAAATTTTAAACTTGTTCAAATTATGTCAAAATATAAATAAATAAATCGGTAACTTGATTGTAAGTAATATGATATTATCGTGAACGATTTTGACATCGCCACTCGAATACATGAATCAAGTTTATAATCAAAACAAATTAGTTTGAGAATCGAGCTATAATACCTAAAGATATAGTTTACTCATTCAACTCACGTGGCACTAAGTAGAAGGATCCATCGTTTTGTTTCAGTACAAAAATGGATAAGAGTGAGAATAAATACGAGGAAGGTGTTTCAATAGATAATTCAAGTGAAAACGATGTTATTTTAGATGACAAACAACACATTTGTGATATCTGTCAAAAGGCATTTACGCTGGAATCAAGCATAATAACCCACAATGATACAGCTCACAAGGAACTAAAATGTTACACATGCGAAAATTGCGAAAAGAAATTCAAGTTCCGAAGTCATTTGAGTAGACACCAAATATCCGAACACAAAAGCCGACAAGATTTTTCATGCGATATGTGCGAGAAGAAATTTGTTAAAAAGATAAGTTTGATTACACACCAAAAACTAGTCCACATGGATCGCGATGATTTCTCATGCAATAAGTGTGACAGGAAATTTAAAAATAAATTAACGTTACTCAAGCACAAAAAAATATTTCACGAAGTTTTCAAAAATTACTTGTGTGAAATTTGCGCGAAGAGATTCGACACAAAACATAATTTACGCGTGCACATGAAGTCGGTACATGACAATCGCAAGGATTTCGGATGCGACCAATGCGAAAGAAAATTTGGAGAAAAATCGAAATTACTAAGACACCAAAGGATAGTACACGAAGGTCACAAAAGTTACGTATGCGACACGTGCGAAAAAAAATTTGGACAAAAAACAGATTTGTTGAAGCACCAAAGAACAGTACATGGAAGCCGCAAAGATTTTGCATGTGAAAAAAGTGAGAAAAAATTTGGACTTAAATCAACTTTGCTTATACACCAAAACACAGTCTATGATGGTTGGAAAGATTTTGCATGCTACACGTGCGAAAAGACATTTACCCAGAAAGCGCATTTGCTTTTGCACCAAAGGACAGTTCACGAAGGTCGCAAAGATTACGAATGTGATATTTGCATGAAAAAATTTGGAGATCAAAGGAATTTAAAAAAACATAAAAAAATTGTCCATGAGGGTCACAAACATTTCACTTGCGACAAATGCGAAAAAAAATTTGGAGTGAAATCGAAATTGATTGTCCACCAGAAAATTGTTCACGAAGGTCTTAAAAATTTTGCATGCGACAAATGCGAGCAAAAATTTGGATACAAATCAAGTTTACTTTTACACCAAACGACAGTGCACGAAGGTCGCAAAGATTATCCATGCAATAACTGCGAGAAAAAGTTTGGACAAAAATCAGATTTGTTAAAGCACCAAAAAACAGTACATGAAGGCCGCAAAGATTACGCATGTGATAATTGCCATAAGGCATTTGGACAAAAATGGATTATGATTCAGCACCTAAAGACAGTTCACGAACGACGTAAAGATTACACATGTGACAAATGCGAAAAAAAATTTGGATACATGTGGATTTTGGTTTTACACCATAAGGCAGTACACGAGGGTCGGAAAGATTTCGTATGTGATAAGTGTGAGAAAAAATTCTCCCAAAAATCGAATTTGCTCCATCACCAGAAGACAGTACACGAAGGCCGCAAAGATTACGAATGCATCAATTGCCAGAAGAAATTCGGAAAAAAAGCTCATTTACTCACACATCAGAAAATAATCCACGAAGGTCGTCAAGATTACGCTTACGAAAGGTGCGAGGAGAAATTCACACGAAACAAAAATTTGCTCATCCACCTAAGAACAATACACGAAAGTCGCAATGATTACTTATGCGACCAATGTGGGAAGAAATATGGAAGAAAAGCTCATTTGCTCAGGCATCAAAAAATAGTCCACGAAGGTAGTAGAGATTTTTGTTGCGACCATTGTAAGAAAAAATTTGGACAAAAAGTGCATTTGATTAGACACCAAAAAGCAGTCCACGAAGGTAGCGAAGATTTGACTCAAGACAATTCAAATGATTAGAGACTCGTGTTTTTTAAATTCTAATGAAAATTGTGCTTAAATGAACCACGCGCGTTGAACTATCATTGTACATTGAACTACCTTTCTACTTTGATGTTGTGGTGTTATCAGATTTCACGTACTACTAATTACTACTCTCAATAAACTTTTGTCCACTTGTTTTCTGCAACTCTTGTATACAACGATCAACTCAGAGATTTTTTAACATCTTGCTTTGGAACAGTGAATGGGGCAAGATTTTTGGTTTTCAGTTGGCCACTGGACTTTCCAAAAAATCTTACGAAATGACCGACGCGTTCGAAAACATCAACAAAGTTCAAATTCGCTAAAGATACACTTGTCGCAACGGTTACCCGAGCTTACTCACCTAGCCTCTGTCTCTCTTTTTACCTAGCTCCTGTAGGTGATTTTTTTTCAAGTACTTAATTTTATGAGGCCTAAAAATTCCTCGATGGAATCATTGCCAAGTTAGGATTTAAATTTGTTTCAAATATCGAAAGGATAATGTATAAACGGATGAATCGGTGATTTAATCATAAACAATATAATCATAAACGAGTTTGACATCGTCCCTCGACACACTAATCGTATTTATAGTGAAAATACATTAGTTTGAATGTTGTCTTTCCCGAACAAACAAGTAATAACACCAGAAGATACATTTGACTCATTAAATTTCGGTGGCACTTAATTGAAGGATTCAAAGTTTAATTTAAGCACCAAAATGGATAAAAGTGAGATGGAATACAAAAAAGGTGTCTCAATAGATAATTCAAGCGAACACGATATTGCCGTTTCAGATGATAAAAAATTTAGTTGTGATATTTGTCAGGAGACATTTACACAGGAATCAAGTTTGATAACACACCGGGACACAATTCACAATGAACAAAAAGATTTCGCAAGTAACAAATACACAAAGAAATTCGAGTTTCGCAGTCATTTGAGTAGACACCAAAGATCTGAACACGACAGCTGCAAAGATTACACGTGCAACAAGTGTGACAGGAAATTTGAAAATAAATTGACGTTACTCAAGCACAAAAAGATATTCCACAAAGTTTTCAAAAATTACTTATGTGAAGTGTGCGCTAAGAGATTTGACAATAAAAGAAGTTTACTCGTGCACGTGAAGACGGTACATGACAGTCGCAAGGGTTTTGAATGCGACAAATGCGAAAGAAAATTTGGAGGAAAATCGCAATTACTAAGACACCAAAAGATAGTACACGACGGTCGTAAAGATGTTGCATGTGAACAGTGTGAGAAGACATTTGGACACAAATGGATTATGATACAGCATATAAAGGCAGTGCACGAAGGTCTGAAAGATTACGCATGCGACAGGATCGAAAAGACATTTACCCAGAAAGCGCATTTGTTGAAGCACCAAAGGACAGTCCATGACGGTCGGAAAGATTTCGCATGTGACAAGTGCCAAAAGAAATGTGAAGTTTGTGCGAAACGATTTGACAATAAAAGAAGTTTGCTCTTGCACATGAAGACAGCACACAATAGTGTGAAACATTTCGCCTTAAAAGTCTTTAAAGATTACTTTTGTGACAATTGCGGGAAGAAATTTGAAAAAAAAAATGCATTTGATCAGTCATATAGCAACAGTCCATGATGGTCGCAGAGATTTCGCGTGCGACATTTGCGAAAAGAAATTTGTGACTCGAAGCAATTTGAGAAAACATCAAAAACTAGTCCATGAAGGTAGTAGAGATTTCTCTTGCGACCATTGCGAGAAAAAATTTGGAGAAAAAGGACAGTTGAATAGGCACCAAAAAACAGTTCATGAAGGTCGGAGAGATTATGCATGTGACTATTGCGAGAAGAAATTTGGACGAAAATCGAATTTACTTACCCACCAAAGGACCATACACGAAGGTCGCAAAGGTAACGCATGCGACAAGTGCGAAAAGGGTTTTGGACAAAAAGCGCCTTCGATTAAGCACCAAAAAACAGTACACGAAGGTCATAAAGATTTTGCATGCAGCAAATGCGAAAAGAAGTTCGGAACCAAATCAAATTTACTTACCCATCAAAGGACCGTACACGAAGGTCGCAAAGATTTTGCATGCGACAAGTGCAAAAATGTATTTGGACAAGAAGTGCATTTGATTAAACACCAGAAAGCAGTCCACGAAAGTCGAAAAGATTTCGCGTGTGACTAATGCAAAAATTTTTTTGGACAAAAAGTTCAATTATTCAGACATCAAATAACCATCCATGGGAGTCGCAAAGACTATGCATGCTATAATAAATGATGATTGAAAAAATTGTAATTACGTAGATACTTATAAGTTTAAATACAGATATTTTCTAAAATTTCTATGAAACTTGCGTCAATGTTATTGTCTTACCTGATTTTCATTACATTTTTGACTGTCGTGGTAGTGTTTTATTTTTAATATCGCGATACCGAATTAATAAAACCTGTACTAACGGAAAATTTTAATGTACTTGTTGCTTAGAGGGGAACACATTTTTTATTTTATCTAAAAATTAAAGAAGACTATTTTCAATACTTATGAGACATACTATGAAAAAATCGATGTCTTAACTTATCTTAAATTGACTGTCCATAGTATAAAGATTGGAAAGCTCATGTATTTAAAAGTTTGATGTTCTACCGTGTTTGAAGAAAAAAATAAAAAACGAATTAATTTATGCAAACCTTATATGAATACAATTGATTATCAAAAAAGGGTTGCGGAAAAATGTACTTTAATGAAAGTCTCTTTAGTTAATTATGTATTTTACAATCGATATAATTAAAAAAAAAAATTCATAAATTTTCTTGTATCTTAATTTTATTTCAACGTTATCTGCAAATATCATCATTAAGTTACACATCTTACATTACAAAATACCTTGCGAACACTTGGGTACGTACTCGAAACAAAAACAAAAAATTAGCTCTCAAACCGAACTCGAACCAGCTCGTTTTCGAGCCCCCTCGCGAGAAAGGATCGCGAGTATAATTTAGCAAAGCTCAAAGGTACATTTGCAAATATCGAGTGCCCTTTTTCGAGCAATTAATTATTTTACTGCGAATTGTATGTAAGCGCGAGCGCCATTGTGTGCCTCGCGAGGGTTTTACTACTGCGCAGCAGCGGCATTCTTAAAATTCTTCGACTCGTTCAATTTGCAACAAGATGCAATTCCAAACTACATCTATTGGTGAATTTTTGTTTCCTGCGAATTTTTTACCCCCTTTCCTGTTCACCATTACAAAGGGATAGAGAGAAGAACTCGCTACACTGAAATATTCCTTTTTAAAATTATTCGCGAATTTAATAACTTATTCAGGGCCGCTCTCGCTGCAAAGGTAAAAATGCGCTTTGCGCCCGAATCGCCCGATTCGAAGGATCATTAAAATTTGATCCTCGTTCCTCATTTCACATTTGCCTATCACGAGTGCGCGTATACAGTGTAAAATTGCCATTCCAGTCGTTTAGTTTAATCCGGATAACAGCAGTTTGTGCCACGCACATACATCAGAGAGCGAGAGCGCCATACATACGAATAATAAAATTCGCCGCGATGAAAGCATCGCATCGCAGTCTTATCAGCTCGGCGGCGGCTCTCATGCGAGCGCGGCCAACATCATCAATCATATATACACACATAAAGTGCTAAAAGATATATATAGCTCGGCGCGCACGTGTATTAGGTTGTAATTGTCACGGTGTTGGCAATTTTAACGCTCGATATATCTTCCAGAGAGAGCTTCTATTCGGTTCTATGCACGAGTTTGCGCAGAGTATTAATATGCGTGTACGCTACTGGCCTCTCATCGACGTGAGAAATGACACCAAGGGAGCTTTGCACTTATAATACCAGGATTTTGATTTCCTGGCGGCCTATCGTTACTCCCGATTAGTGCCTCCTCGTAGGGGCTGTTAGTCAGTCAGTGGCACATAATTATTACGCGAGCATCGCAGCAGGTACATTCGGAGAATAAGAATGGAATAAAAAAGAGGCATAAGAGTAGTGTATATCGGTCGGCGCCTCGTACAGTAATAGTAGACGCAACAACGCAGCTCATCGCGCGCGCAACACATAAAAGCTCATGTTAATCGAGGCCTGTGTAGAAGCAATACAAAGAGGGAGTATAGACACGGGCAGACAAGCGCCCAGGACGGCAGGCACGTAGCAGCGCCAGCACGGACACCCCCTTGGAACGCATATCCGACCTATAGGGGGGTTGCTGCTAGTGCTGGTATATATGGGTAGTTGAAAGTTGCCGTGGAGCTTTCTGCTCGGCGCATTATATAGACGCGAGCGGCGCATGCATGCGGCAGCGGCGGCGGCGGCGGCGGCGGCGGCAGAAGCACAAGCCGCCGCCGAATGGTGGGGGCGTCCCGGCGCGTCGCCGTGTTGTACCGTGCCGGTGCTGTACTCTCTCTCTCTCTCTAGCCAACGTCGACGTAGCTGCTCGTGCCGCCATCCAGCCAGTCGTCGACGAGCCGTCCGTCGCGCGTGCGATTTTGCTCGATATATATACTCTCTTTATTATTATATCTCTCCTACGCACACGACTGTAAAAAGCGTCGTCGTGGTCTCGTGCATCAGCAGCAGCACAGCAGCAGTACAGCTTACCTCGTAGCTCTACCGATATCTGTTCTCGTTCTTCGTCTGCTGTTGTTGTTGTTGTTGTTGCGCGTGTCGTTGTGATTAATTATTATTATTGTATGCGTCGAAGAACAAGTGATAATTATTGCATCGATGATCGTGAATAATTAAAAAATACATCATAAATCTATGACAGATAAATTGTGCAATGATGTTTAGGGGACAGCGGCTATGTAACAAAATATAAATATAAATAATCGTCGAATGTGCTCCGTCGATGTTGCGGTTCGATGTTGTAATTTTTTTTGTGTGATCCTCCAGTGTTTGTTGTACAAAACAGGATACATAGTCATATAGATATATACTAACGAGGCAAGAGAGAGACCTAAGCACAAGCCAAGTGTGTATAGGGAGCTTGCAAGCATGCCCGCGTGGTATGTACCAGCTTTTCTTCCATCCACAACTACACAACTATACTACTTGCGCGACTTGTATATACCACTATAACTAAGCTGGACTGTGTGTAACTCGTATATGTATATATACGGATCGATATCCTTGTCGTGTAGTATAGAGTATACACTTACATGAGAAAATTTCGATGTTATAAAACGGCGAGGTAGTGCTGCCGTTACAAAAGCGACACAAAATCCGACTGCGCGATAAAGCATAAATTTTTCAATCGAACATTTATAAGCGCGCATAAACAAGGTTACATTTTTGCAGCAGCAACGGCAGCAGTAACGGTAACAGTGTCGTACGCGCTGCGACGCAAAACGTCCAAGTCTTAGTCGCGAATTTATCGTCTTTTATAATACAATTGCGGGCAAAATAATTTCTCGCTTTTGCGCGTGCGAGATTCCGCCAAGTCTCTTTAAACGACTTCGTTCCTCTCTCTCTCTCGCTCGCTCGCAAGCTCGCATAAATTAAGAGCTTTCGACTTGTCGCCGCGAAGTTCGCGACTGCTGAGAAGTAGTAGTAGCAGCGGCGACGGTAGCGGAGAGAGAGAGTAAATTCTCACTCGAGAAAGAGAGAGAGAGAGAAGAGAGCAAAGCGCTCGTACAGGTGACGGTTATACGTACGCGACGCGTGTGTGTATACGTACGAAAGTTGCGAATGCGAGAAAGTCAAGTCGCGAGAACCGATTAACTTTTAATGGGGGATGCAGCTTGCTCGAGAGAGAGCTTTAGCTATTAAACGCCAACTAATTGGCGAGCAAGTCGTCGTAGCTATACACACAGCTCGAAACCTGGGAAATTTTTATCTGCGAATAACTCGTGCGCTAGCGGGAGATGATACTCTTTACCCCGGTGGCACAGACTTACTACTGATACATAGTAAAGATGGTGCATCAGCTTGGAGCCTCGTCGCGATACGGCGAATGAGAGTAATATACATCGCGATGTATTTTTTATCTAGTCACTTTCAACACCTGCGCCTTTGCCTCGCTCAAACTCACTCGCGCGCGCGCATGTGTGTTCACGCGAAGACGAGCAAAAAAACACACAACTATCTCGACGCGATGACGAAAGCATCGAAGGTGAAACATAATCATTAGTTTTTTTTTCTCGCGCGCCTCGCGATAACGAACTCGTGCGTGCTCGTGTGTACACATTGGGGCTTTGAGCAGCGACAAGCGGCGTGGAAAAACCGTCGCAATAAAAGTAATATCGAATGAAATTTCTGTGTCAAGAGAGAGACAGAGAGAATCTATCGTGTGCTTGCATTCACGGACTCGTACGTACATTATGCAGAGAGGCACGGATATATCAGCAGCAGGCGTTTATTGGTTAGTGCAGTGTAGTACGCGCGATAGGAGAGATAGGAAAGCTATAGAGAGAGAGGATCGTCGCGTCGAGTGCGTTTGCATAGAGAGATGTGCCGGAGCTGTCTGTCTGTAGCTTCCAACACGTGGTCCTCGTCCTCGAGCGTCCCGATCGCTTTTGTCAATTTTTCTCTCTTTCTTTCTCTCGGTATACGTACGTATTATAAAAGCGTGCAAGAATGGAACGCGTTAAACTGTTGCTCGCGCGAATCGAGCTTATGTGCGCGTGTGGGTGGCTAATTGATCGTTAATAATTAATAATCAGGCACGAAAATACTCGGCATATTTCTCTGCCTCCGTACCGCGTGTGTGCTTGTGTGCGCGTATCGCGAATATACATGTGTTGAACGAATCCGGCCCAGCACTGATTCATCGCTTT